ACAGCACTTAATCCCTAAGTAATGATCACAAAAGTATTTGAATGAAAAATAAAAGAATCAAAACAAAAGAATTCAGTTCTTCAATGTCGTAAGAACACTGAAAACTGAACAATGAAAATAAAACCTAAAAGGCTTGAAACTCAAATATTGAATGGAAGATAATGATTTCAGCAGTCTTAATTCGATCTTCAAGTAGGGTATATATACAACTCTTTAGGTATGGAGTCTTCTCCAAGTATAAGACTTGTTTTTGATTTCCTTCCAAGTTTATCCAAAGTAACATGATAAGTGTAGGACTCTTCCTTCTCTCTCAAGATATTCATTCCTTGTATTATGTGGAAACATGGTAAGTAAATATTCTCTTGATCTCTCCTCAAGTCGTGTAAGAACAAGACTTTCCTAAAATAGCCGATCTTCCAAATCTTCAAAAATCTTGTGGTAAATCTTTTCAAATCCTCCTTAGATCTACTCATGAACGTCCAGAACTCATTATGCACGAATTGCTCATCCTTTCATAGTCCTTGCCACTTATTCCTTGTCTTACAAGAAAGAGAAAACTAATTATGGTATAGAATAAAGCTCATTAATGCATGTGGCATATATGGTAAGTAAATATATAAGATATATATTATGTAATCCTTCTCCTAAAGGTTTAGGACTCCATAATACACATTATAATAAATATATCACATATATTAATAATAATAAATAATAAGAACTTAATTAATTAACAAGTAAATAAATAGAAAACTTTCCTTTAATTTATTTTGCTTGCATAACAAGAAAATCTTTTAGAAAACACTTAAAGTTTTCGGATGATGCCAAACCAATATTCTTACAGTTGCCACGGAATTTATGTAGAGTTACCTGTAGTTTTTCCGTCACTCCGTATTTTGTTTGGCTGTGATGATCCCAAGTTATAACTAATTGTCAAGCTTTGTTCTGACATCTTATTTTAGTAGGGAAACAAAAAGGAAAGAAAGGTTGATTAGTTTTCCTTACTCCACTTACTTTTATTCAGATAGAAACCAGATTATTAGCCATTACTGAATACACTCGTGATGATAGCTTGAAAAATCAAAACTTTGTGTAATTTGTTAAATGTTTTACTGGGCCTTTTCTTGGGGAGCAATGACACTATAATGAGCTAATAACATCACAAGTGAGAGCTTATCTTGCGCCACATTTCTACTCTACTCCAGAGTAGTGCGAAAAACTTGCTCCAATGTTGCGTTACATTTTCGCACTACTCTGAAGATATAAACAGTATTGCGCTATATATATTATTCACCACGCTACAATTTTTTTTCTTCAAATTTTAAATAATTATTTTGATAAAATATACATCAATAAAATTATTTATTTATTAAATAATTTAAAATTTTGATTTTATAGTTGTATTTAAATTTTATTTTTTACTAATATATTTCATGTAGAGTAAAATGTAGCGCGAACGACTGGAAGCAAGAATTAAATTTTGGCATTCTCTACTCTAAAGTGCAGTAAAGAGTGCGAGATGATCCGAAGGAATATTACTCTTATTTTAAATTTTGTTCTCCAATATATTCACTCGTGAGTCGTGAGACTTTCTGATTAAAGTAAAAGGCAAAAGTAGTGTTATTTTATTTATCACAACGTAGTTTTTGTAGAGATATTTTTTGGTTTAATATAATATTATCCATGCAGGGAATTATTTTTTCCTTGTGCTGATAGGAAAAAAGTGGACATTATATGGAAACAGTGATTTTCTACCCTTTTGTGCCTGTAATTGTCGCATCTCAACCCTTTTCTTTTTCCTCATATTGCACGTATTAAAAAGAAGATGGGTGCTTGTTTTGTGAGGTCATATGAAGCATTTACAAGAGAGTTGTGTTTAAGTGTGAATGTCTTTTAATATGGGAGGGTATTTGTTGTTCAATGCATTTTGCGCAAAACACAGGTTTTTTTTTATTGATTGTCCTGTTTCTTCGTATCTTATCCTATCTAAATATCAAAGGAGAAAAGATGTTCTCATCATTTGTCGTATAGTTTTGTTTATATTCCTCGATTAGATGATCCATCCCCTTTGTCCATCAATTTTAGATTGCGTTGAATATATTTTTGTCCCTTTTGCCTTTGTTTGCTTTTCAGGATGGGATTGGACTCATTTAGTCCAATGGGGAAGAATTGTACTGTTGGAATTGGACTATTCATGTGTTTGTTATATATGATAAGGGAAAGGATAACTTTAAATTAAAAAATAAAAAAAAATGTGTAGGTGGTGTAAAATACTACCTCCTATTCTTTTTAAATGTCATTTTGGCTTTATCAACTATTAACCAAAATAAATGTCGTTTTGGATCTTTTGTACATATTTTTCCATTATTACCCTCATCTAGTTAATAAATACACTACGTCTTTTCATATTCTCTTCATCTTTTTTTTTAAAACATCCATCTCTATCTTCATTAATGAGGGTTATTATTGGCAAAAAAATTATTCTTAATTAGTGTGCAACTTCTCAAAACGACACTTATTATGAATAGGAGGGAGTACTGTTTTACTCCTTTCAAATAAATCAAAAACAGTCCAAAAATTATTAAAATAGGGATAAAATAGAAATTTACTACAACAGGATAAGAATAATCCCACTTATTTCCTGGGATTAGTTTATTCCAAGTATGAGGGATTAAGCCATTTTTATACCGGGTCGATTGGATTCCTGCGGACTTTAGTCTCATGAACCAAATGCAGGATTAAGCTTGGATTAAGTGGGATATCCCGCCTAATTCCACCAAACAAACATGCACTTTGGAGATTATGTGGTGGATAATTTGTCAGATTCGCACTTTTCTTTCCGTTTTGGGAAAAAAGTGAGCAACTAATGTCAAATAATCTTATCTCTGAGTTATTTTTCCAGTCCTGAAACCAAGATTGATATTCACAAATCTTTGGAAAATAAATGTGGTTTCTAAGACAATGACATATATTTTTGTAAAAAGTTAGAAGATCAAAATCTAATAATTTTTGGTTTGATAAATGCATGTCCCAATGTGAACATACTTATATCAAATGTATAAGTAAGATTTGTTTGTCAACGGGTAGTCATCATACTTTTTGAATAAATATATATTTTTAAATTAAAATAATATATTTTTTTTTTTAAAAAAAAAATCATAAACGAAATGTCGATATAATAAATATATAATTTTATTAAAGTGTGTAAATGACTTATAACCCAGCTTAACAATTAGTCCACGTCTCACACAATAAAGTGTGTAAATGTATGTCTAATGTGAATTATGTATGGTTCATGGGTAGGAAACTTGAATGGGCATTGCCACCCATAAATTACAATGGGGTATTTTTAATGTGGAAATGTTGATTTATAAATTAGCACATTAATAAAAATATTTTGTCTGTCAAGGATAATTACATTGTTCAAAGACTTAACTATGAAACGCTTATCACATTGTTCAAAGACGCTTAATACATTTTACTTTTGCTAATAAATTATTCATTTGTTGTGTGACTTTTAAATTAGGAAATGTTAGCTTAATCATTTTTTTCTCCATCTGAAATATACCTCCATGATTCTTTAAAAGAAAAAAAAGTAAAAAAAAATCTTCCTAAGAGTGAATAGTTGTGACCAAAATAAAACTAGATTATGGGCTGTCAAACAAAAATTGACAACAAATTCCAAGTAACATGATGGATAATTTGGAATAATCAATGACTACAAAGTTGCTGTTTCTTGACAATTAGTAAGATAATTTTGTATCACATGATTATCGATTGTACTTTGTATAAGTTTAGGCTTTGTTTGGTAATCAGCTGTTAGCTGTTAGTTGATAGTGAATTGCATTAACTGTTTTGACCAGCGGATTGTAAGAGTTGTTCTGACCAGCTGTTTGTGTTAGCGGTTTGTAAAAAAGTGTTTGGTAAAATTAGTTATTTCAGTTAGCTGTTAACATGTAAAATTACTTATAAGTACATCAACATATTTTATCATTTTAATTTATGTTGAACTTATAATTATTTAGGAAATAGAAATAATTAGTATTTTAAATATTTATTAAAGTGATTTAAATATAATAAAAATATAAATGATAATAATAAAATAAAAATATTTCTCAATCAAGTAGATAAATTATCGTCATATAAACAAGGCAAGTAACAAGTCGTCACAAATTAAAAGTGTAAATGTGAGTCAATTACAATATTTGCTATTACAAATAAAAAAAAAAAACTAATGCTCTAAGAACGATGTCTAGATGCCATCAAACTTGACGCCATGTTATTACGGACGTTTGCCATCTCCCGAGTCCTCATTTCTCCATCACCTTGTGCATAATTATTTTCAAAATATACTTTTGTAAAATAGTTCCTTAAAAATGCAAAATAATTTATTATGTTAATATTTAATAAAGTGATTTAATAATAATATTAATAATCCAAATAACAAATATTTATCTTTGACATTTTTTTTATCTATTGCTCTTTCTATAACAAATATTTATGTTTTTTTTTTTTCTGAAGGAATAATTTATCATTTAATTTCAGTTTGTAGTCTTGATATTTTATCAAAGCCCTCTCTATCAAATATAACACTTTGCTCTATAAATCCATTCTTTATCACTCTAGTAGGCCTTTTTCCTTTTCTCAGGCCGAGTTAAGTGGGCAATTAAGTACATGATAATTATTTTCTTCCAACAGCTACATGCAAACGCTCCTCAATGTAGCGTTTTGTATTTTAGTGGTTTTGCTAAAAACAGCTAACTAAAAAGCTGCTAACCAAACGCCTCTACTTAGCGGATTGTTAAAGTCAAATCCGCTAAAGTATTTAAACAACTGTTTTTTTACCAAAACGCCATTTACCAAATGGACCCTTAATATAAGCGTGTTTGTCATTTAAAACAGCTGGATAAGATAGAGTCAATTTTCCAATTTTATCCCTGCCCATTATTGATAGGAACAAAACCTCATGGAGCCCCTTAAGTAAACTCAACCCAGCTCCCTATCTTTTCTTAGCAAAATAACCAACTCATCCAATTTGTCAAAAAAAAATATCGAAAGTAGGTTTCCATTTTCAAAACCATTATTAATTGCAAAAAGCACTATCCCTTCAAAATTCCTCATCCCCCAACCAATCCCCTTTCCCAAATTGCTCCTCCCACTTGACTTATTTTAATTCCCAAATTGGCCCCTCGAATTACTTTTTATCACAGATGTGGATAAGACAGTAGACCACTGAAACTGATATAAAAAGGAAATGTATCATTATGGACCATTCAAGCAAGTTGCAGGTGCCCATGGCGGTCTGCTTTGGACTCTTCTGAAAATCTCCTCTTGCCTTTGATTCCATCTTACACTCCCTCTTGCCCGGTTCGGTTCCCCCACCCCGCCTCCCTCCCTCATCTTTTTCCGGAGAAAATGGTCAGCCCGCTGAAGGACGACCGGCGCGCCGGCGGGCCGGAGGAGGACTTCATCAGAAGGCACCACAAGCACGACGTCGGAGAAAACCAGTGCAGCTCCTCTTTGGTCAAGCACATCAAGGCTCCCTTGCCTCTCGTGAGTTTTTGTTCTACAGTACGAATTTATGCTCTACGTTTCGATTGTTGTTCAGATCTACGAGTAATTGGATGAACCGGAGAGATTTGTTCGAAATTTGTTTGTGATTGGATTTAGGTATTACTGATTTGTGTAGGTTTGGTCGTTGGTGAGGAGATTCGATGAACCGCAGAGGTACAAGCCGTTCGTGAGCAGGTGCATAGTGGAGGGAGATTTGCAGATTGGGACTGTTCGAGAGGTGAATGTGAAATCGGGACTTCCTGCGACCACCAGCAAGGAGAGATTGGAGCTGTTGGATGATGAGGAGCACATTTTCAGCATGCGGATTGTCGGCGGGGATCACCGCCTCAAGGTATACTAATCAGTAACGTATTTTAGATGGATTTGTTTGTGAGTGCTGATGATTTTGATTGAATTTATTTGATTTCTGATGTTGTTTTGATGTTTGTACTTTTCATATTTGTTTAAACCAGCTGCATTTCAATCTCTAAAACCTGTAGATGGAGTGAAAATTATGTGTACAAACTATCATATTTGGAGTTCATTTATCATTTGTTTAGTTTCTGGGTTTTTGCTTCTTTTCCTTTTCTTTTATTTTCTCCATTGTGATGGTCTGGGAGGAGGGATTTTGCATCTATGTATCATTCATGTTAATCTCAGTCGAGCTATGAACTGCTTCTGGAATCTTTTATGCATTTTCAATGCAGTGTAAACTGATGGTGTGAACATTGACTAAGTGCTACCTTGTAGACCTTGTTCTTTGTCCCATTGATTTGATATCGTCATCTCTAAGAAACTCAATCTCACTGATGGGCTTATTTAAGAATAGCAAATTCGTGTTCTTAATCTTATCCTTGGTTGAACATTGTTTCATGGTAGTTAAATGAGAGCAATTAGCATGTTGTAATTCTTTTATAATTTTCTTGCAGAACTACTCATCGATCATCACAGTCCACCCAGAGATCATAGATGGAAGACCAGGGACAATGGTGATCGAGTCCTTTGTGGTGGATGTGCCCGAAGGTAATACCAAGGACGAGACGTGTTACTTCGTGGAGGCTCTCATCAAGTGCAACCTCAAGTCTTTGGCTGATGTCTCGGAGCATCTAGCTACGCAAGACCGAACAGAACCAATCGATAGATTCTAAATGATTTGCTTATGTTTCGAGACTTGCAGCTTTCTAAAAGCCCCCAATCAATCAATCAATCAATCAGAAGATTATGCTTTTCGGTATAGGTGTATTGAGAGACGGGTATTGTGCCGGTCCTCCTCGTCGGCCTTTTCATGCATCTTAATCCTTTTTGCCCCATTACGTGTTTTGTGTGTGTGTGTGTTTTTTTTTTTCTCTCGATTTTTTTTTTTCTTTGTGATGGGTCTCTGTAAGTTCAAACCCTCTCTTTTCTGTATGAATACATTCTGCTTTGTATGTCATTCACCTTTGTATGTGGAGACCTGGGTTGTATATACTTTGGGATTTAGGATAACAATGGCTTGGCTTGGGTGTGTTTGGAGTTTGGAGAAACTGTCATGTTTTGTATACTGTGGTGTGTGGCTGGTGGTTGTGAAGAAGACTGCAACTAAAATTAGTTATGGCATCCTTCTAGAATATCCCTTTGCCTAAGAAAGACCGAAGATGTTACGGTTTTACACCAATTATGAGTTTGTTGGTATGTGTTCCTTTCAATTCTATGCTGCGGACAAATTGTCAAGTTCCCATCAGTTGCTGTAACAGTTAAGCTGTCATACATCTTAAATAGATCTGCATAATTTCTAGTGGAATTGATTCTTCAAAAAATTACTTGACCAAAAGTATAACATTTCGTTGCATACTTTATAATTAGAATTAGAATGTCATGCTTTTTAAGTAGGTTAGCATAGTTTTAAAGTGTTTAAGCGATATTCTAAAAAACAATATGAATAAAAAATATAACATTTTATAATATAAATATGTATTTTGTTAAAAAGGGATGATGGATTATTAACCTCTTTTTAACATTTACCAGTTGAACTGCTTCACACAAGAATTTGTGTGTACCAAATTAAGGTTGATCATTGGGCTTTGGTAAGGCCCTAATTGTTTCTGATAACGGATTCAGTGTAATGCAGGGAACAATATCGTGCTTTTATACATTGTTAAGTTGTTATTCTGACTTCTGAGGCATTATTAAGTATTCCAATAAACACATCATTATTAGCATGAGTGTTAAAATTTCCATACTACAGTTCTTTAGAAGTTTAATTGTAGTATGAAACAACTATGTAGTAATTCCTTCTTCATGCCTCCCAAACGAAACGACGCACCAGATGAAAGGCGTGATGCTGAAATCGCCGCATTGGACCGTCAATTCGAGTCGTTAGCCGCAACTGTTGAGGATATTCGGTTGTCCCTGGCTGCACTGGGGCACGGCGAGCCTTTGAAGGTCCGACTCTTTGCTTTTCCCTCAGAAGTGCGTGACAACCACGTGCCAGAATTCGTGCGTGTTGACCGTGGGGGGAGACCGGGTCAACGTGGGGCGCCCTGCTCCCGATCCCCTCCATCGGGTTTTGGTAACGATGACCTCGACGACACAATCACCATGGTGAACTCGTTTGCAGTGTTTTCATCACAAGAAGATGTGCGTGTTTTCGAAAATCGGGGGTGGAAGTCGGGGTTCAAGATAGATATCCCAGAATTCTCAGGCAGACTAGATGCAGCATATTTCTTGGGTTGGATCAATTCGATAGAAGATATTTTGGATTTGAAGGATGTCGGATAGTCGTCGTGTTGCACTTATCACGACCCGATTTCGTGGTCGGGCTCCGGCTTGGTGGCAGCAATTGAAACAGACACACGTCAGCGACATGGTAAGAAAGAAATTGCTACTTTGACAAAATTTAGTGAACATGTGGAACGCGAATTTTTACCATATAATTATGTCCGTACGCTCTATCAGAGTTAACAAAATCTTCGTCAAGGTGATCACGCCGTCAATAATTACACAGACGAAGTCTACCACCTTCTCGCGTGCGGAGATATTCGTGAGAAGTTGGAACAACGATTTTCTCGGAGGTCCTCTATCACTTCTGTGTCGCCCTCTCGGCGCTGCTCTGTTAGTGCAACATCTGCTCTGGCTCTTGGCAAATCGACAGGACCAAGTTTGACGATGAGGCACAAACCACCTTCTAACTTACGTTGTTTCTCATGCGGCGAGCCTAGCCATCGTCAGGCTTCTTGCCCTAAGTATGAGTTAAGGTCGACTTTAGAATGGGGCCTAAGAATTTACCCTCGAATTCATAGGACTTGAACTCTAGTTAAGTTGGAGTTTTTGAACTCTTGCCCTAAGTCAGGGGCCATGCATGCGCTGCTTGTTGATGGTCCTGTGTTGCCTGACTATGAGGGCCCACCAATATACGATATCGAGGACCACGTGGTTGAAGAACATCTTATAGGGGACGTCGTTCAATCATTGGTAATTCGTTGGTCCTGTTATACTCCTCGTACGTCATGAGAGGATACAATGCAGTGTCATTCTATTTTGTAGTCGACTTGTACGGTTGGTGGTAAAGTGTGTCGATTTACTATCGACCCGGGTACTTGCAAAAATGTTGTGGCTTTGGAAGTCGTGGGAGCATGTTTGTTTATAGAAATTTTAGAAAAATTTCTAACATTTTAATTCAACCACTTTTTTTAACTCAACTTTAACTCAACCCCACTATCATCAATATTATCAATAAAATAATATCAATCAGTCGTTCATACATACAACATCAACCTTAATTCATTATTCATCCACTCACATTATTTTAACTAACCATCACTTCAAATCATCTCTCTCCTACTTTTACATCAAATTAATTTCAATTATTTTATTTTAAATATTATTTTAATATACTCACTAACAACTAACCATACCACCTTTTTCAAAATTAATCAAACCAAACAAAGCCAAAAATTTCTATAAACAAACATGCTAACGAGCCACATCCCCACACGTATATGTAGGCGTGGATCCAAACGTGGTAATTCCATTACGGTGGATCGTCATGTGCTGGTATCTTTTTCCATTGGTACCATTTATAAAGATTCGACGTAGTGCGACGTGGTTCCTACGGATGCGTGTCATCTACATCTTGGTCCTCCTTGGAAATAAGATTGTTCAACTGTTAATGATGGTTTTCTCAATACCTATGACTTTCTCTTTCAGGGTGTCAAGATTATCCTTCATCCGGCACCCCATCAATCTCTTTCGCCACATGTCCCCACGCCCGTGTTGTTTCTCTCGCGTGCTGCCTTTGTCAAAGAGATGCATTTTGCACCAAATTATTCTTCTTTTACTGGGTTTTGATGTGATGAATGATGCATCTTCTCATGTAGAAATCCAGCCTTTGCTTGCTGAAGTTTCATTTTTTTTCCAATGAACTCCCTAATGGCCTGTCGCCATTGCGCGATATTCAAAATCAGATAGATTTGGTGCCTGAAGCCTCTCTCCCAAACCGCTGAGCACGAAGTCAAGTGGAAGAACTACTTCGATATGGAGTCGTCTGTCAAAGTTTGAGCCCTTGTGTTATCTCTGTTTTTCTCATCCCCAAAAAGGACAACTCTTTCTGTATGTGTGTGGACATTCGTGCTATAAATAAATTATGGTCCGTTATCGTTTTTCTATTCCTCATTTGGATGACTTATTGGACCAATTGCATGGCGCCTCGATCTTTACTAAACTTGATCTACGCAGTGGCTATCATCAAATCTATATTTGCTCAGAGTGGAAAAGGCCTTTAAAATACGCGAGGGGCTTTTTGAATGGTTGATTGTGCCATTTGGTTTGTTAACGCTCCCAACACCTTTATATGCGTCATGAACCAGACTCTTCAAGACCTTACCGAAAAGTGTGTTGTCGTTTACTTTGATTACATCATTATTTTTAGTCGATCACTTGATGAGTATTTGGTGCACGTCCACTTTGTGCTTCTCATTTTAGGTGCTGAGAAGTTTTACGCTCACACAAGTGACCTTGCTTTCTCAGATCAACGAATTATGGATTTGATTGACAGACCCACGAAGCCACGCGCTCTAACCTGGAGACCTCTAATGCATCATATAAAAGGCAGATGCTCATTGTTGACTTGTGGAGTTTGAGGTTAGGGATTTTGTACGGGCTATTTTAACAAAGTATCGATTATCTATAGTGTAATAAGTTGTGCTGGTAATATCGGGTCGGTCGAGATTATTGGAAAAATCAACCCTAATGCATATCGCCTTCGGTTGCCATCTCATATTCGTTCTTCTAATGTATTTAATGTCAAGCATCTGGTGCCTTTCATGGTGATAATTCCAATGGAGATGAGATTCCCTCGAATCGTTTTCATGAGAGGGAGAATGATGGAGATGCAATTGTACTGGCTTTTCTTTTTTGGGCAAGCACGATCATTTAGTATCATTAGTCTAGTAATTTAATGAATTTATTTTAATAGTTACCTAAATATTTTTATTCTCTTGTTTAGTAGTGTCTTTATTTTGGTAGGACTCCTTTGCCTTTAGTATTTAAGACTTTCACGTCATTGTTGTTAGGTTGGTTGAGTTTTAGATCTCTCTCAATCTCTATAGTCGATACACTTTTGCTACTTCACTACCTCATAAGTAACTATATACATCACTACCACCAACGCGTAAACTTAAACAACGTATTATGAATCCTACCAAAAGTTAAACAGTCCCAAACACCTTCCAATGATTAAGTCGCACCAACTGAATCCAATCGCTCACACTTTTAAATTAAATGAAACCTCACGAACTCACTATGAAGTCTGAAAGTAGGTTCAATAAAATGTGAATTCACGACCCTGAGTGCGAACAGGTGAACTTAGGGGGTGATTGGATATGAATTCAACTAGTAAAAAATCAGTTTTTTTTAACTATAGTTAAATTTGACAAAAAGTAATATGGTTAGTTGTTTGTGGATATATTAAAATAATATTTAAATTAAAATAATTAAAGTTGATTTGATGTAAAAGTAGGAAAAAATGATTGGAAGTGATGGTTAGTTAAAATTATGTGAGTGGGTGAATAGTGAATTAAAGTTGATGTGATGTGTAATAATAATTGTTTGATATTATTTAATTATATTGATAATATTGAAGATAGTGGATTTGAGTTAAAGTTGAGTTAAATTTGAGTTTTGAGTAAAATTTTCACTGTACAACTTATAAACAATCACGCCCTTAGATCCTATACAAAGTCAAGTCCTACATGTAGGTCTGCAGAATTTAAGATATCTAAATCTTTTAAAACTACAGCACATAATTCGTAGTCTCATTTTATTTGGGATGAAGTACTATTCACTTGTTTTATGTCTTTTCTCCATAT